CCTCCCACCCCAAATAGCACCCTATCACCAAATGCTCAGAAAATTCTGAATTTTTTTATGGGGGGTCTCTATGGCATGCGCAACACTGTCATTTTTTTTAATTATTATTATTATTTTTTTTAATGCCAAAAAGTGGTTGTCCGGGATCCCGGACAACCCCCCTACCGGACGGTTGGGGGAGACGTCCGGCCGAGACGTCCGGCCATCGGACGACTGGTAAGAACAAGTAGTAAGATATTATATGTAGTACAGAGTCAGTACAGACTCAGTACAGAGTAAATGAACTGCAAGGTGCAGATAGGACGTAAGAACAAGTAGTAAGATATTATATGTTTTTTTTTTTTTTTTTAATTCAATAAAGTAATGTTTTATTATTTTGGGTAATAGAAAAAGAAAACAGAAACCTCCTCCTTGTCTTTGTTGGTTGGCTAACAACGTTTTTTAAGTTTTTTCTGTTCTCTGTATGGAAATATAGTATATAGTATATACACTGTGTACGTCGTGACCTTTCTTTTTTTATGGCTATTCAAGCAGGAAAACACATTTCTCGCTTTTGGAAGTATAGTATAATTGACATTAATTCAATTTAATTGTACAAAAATTCTCCAACTAAAGTTAGGAGTTCCGTGTTCTTTAGATGTTTTATACTTTAAAATTTAAATCTCTTTTCCATCAGAATTTTTTGTTTTACCAACTTTTAAGTTTTAAGGTTATAGAATTAATGTCCTTCGGGAGATCCGTTAAAATTGCGACCTTGAATCTTCGCTGTGGTTGGCAGATTTGACCTAATCAAGGAGGTAGCGCTGGAATATGCTTTTCTACTGAAGACCCTTGGGCTAATGAATGTAACAGGGGTGTCAAGCGAGGCATCAAAGACATCGGCGATGTTCGTCAACCGATGACCGGATTTCAATTTATGTTCACCCACCTGGACAAGTTCCTTTGGCCATCGACCTGTGAGCAATGGTCGATGGGACTGAGCATGGGCCCGAAGTCTAGCTGTTCGAAGAAAACCCTCGGGAAGGACTGGAGATAACCTCGTGAAGTTCGTCGCAATGGATTGCATCGCCGAAAAAAATATGTAACTGGTGTGGAAAGAATAAAAGTGGGCTAGAAACAGAGAGAAAAGAGGTGTGGGGAAAAAAAAAAAAAAAAAAACAAAAAAACAGTGAGGTGCATTCCGTTGTGTAGAGAACGAATGCAGCTCCCCGCACCCAACTGTACCAGTGAAAAGTGTGTGTTCAGGGGGTAAGAAGTGGACAGACAGCCAAAGGGGGGGGGTATATATAGCTTCCGGGGACATGCGCGGAAGAACTGGGCACTGTGGGCATACTCCCACTAGCACTTTTTTTTTCCACTTATTTCTGGACGGAATTGCGGCCAGATGCATACGTGTTGGGCCGTAAATGCGGTCAGATGCATTTAAGATAGCGCTCGTGTCAGTACACGCTCAATTCCTACGCGTTGGGCCGTAAATGCGGTCAGATGCATTTAAGATAGCGCTCGTGTCAGTACACCCTCAATTCCTACAAACATGATAAATAGGGGGCCTGGAAAGACCCCACCAGAAGTCAAAGACCTGAACTGCAGCAAAAGGAATGGAATGCGAGGGGTAAATGCGGTCAGATGCATTTAAGATAGAGGCTCGGAGCCCCTATCTTAAATGCATCTGACTACATTTATGGCCCAAGGCTTGGACCTACAGATTGACAGAAAGGACGAAGTGCCCAGGCCTGTACAGCAAACATAGGAGAGGGCCAGAGGCAGAGAACGGGTGTGTGTGTGGATTCACTGTAGAATGCAAACGCTCAGGCTGGGAGCTAAATAAAGATTGACGCACAGAACAAAGTGCGCAGGGCTGTAAGACAAAGAATGGGGGAGTTTGTTTGGGTCATACTCGCACGAGGACTTTTCTAGATGTGCCTGACTGTGATTACGGCCAGAGATGAATGGATCTGACCGCAATCACTGGTGTGTTCAATGCAACCGGCCGGAGACCAGGCCGCCAGAGTAATAAGCCGAGGGGGTGATCGTCAAGCTGGATGCGATAGGCCCGAAACTGGAGTTCTGCAGGACTGAGTGTAAGGGTCAGGAGGCCCCACTGGTGGTGCTGTGTTAGTGTAGTGGCAAGGAAGCACGAACCTGGATGTTTTGACGGCCACGTTCATGCTTTCCAGAGTCATAAGCCCAGAGCGTGATCGTCAAGCTGGATGCCAAGAATCGTAGGCCCGAAACTGGAGTTGTGCAGGATTGAGTGTACGGGTCAGGAGGCCCCACTGGTGCTGTGTTAGTGCCGAGGAAGCACGAACCTGGATGTTTTGAGGGCTACGTTCATGCTTTCTAAGCACCGGTGTGACAACAGATGAGGCCTTCGGGTCTATGGCTCTTAGAGTCTGTACTACGTAGGGTGCCTGAATTAGACGGCCACATTCATGACCTGGACGTTTTGACGGCCACGTTCAATCAGATCCAGACCTGTAGATCGGAGGTTTTTCACACCTGACGTCGTAGATAAACTGGATGCTCAGAGACTGCCTCTGCTCGGAACCAGAATCAGGGTTAGAGATCTGGGACCAGAGTACCACATGTGGACATCTGGGACCAGAGTACCACATGTGGACACACTGGGACCAGAGTACCACATGTGGACACACTGGGACNACACTGGGACCGGAGTACCACATGTGGACACACTGGGACCAGAGTACCACATGTGGACATCTGGGACCAGAGTACCACATGTGGACATCTGGGACTAGAGTACCACATGTGGACATTTGGGACCAGAGTACCACATGTGGACAGCTGAGACACTGGCACCAATCTGGCCATGCCAGCATGAGCCACAGACTCAAAGCTGCACTGGCAGTGAGAGGACTGCCGCATTGGCGGCAGCAGAGATGCGCTACTAGGTGATCTTCTCAGACTGTAATGGCACTACGGATGTCATGGATTTGTCATCAGACTGCAGATTCGACCGGTCCTGGATGCATCTGACTGCAATCACGTCCGGAAACTGGTAGAAAAAGTCCCCTTGTATATATACCTGGAACCACAGGCCTTTGACAGATCAGGGTGCTGGGTCTTGTGACTGGCCAGAGAGATTGAGATGGGCTTTGTGGCTGGAACTTGGGACAAGTGGGACAAGTGGGACAAGGCTTGCAGACAACACTCGCTGTTAAACCAGCAGTACGTCTGCCGCTGCCGCGAGCCGAGTTTTGTCGAATGGGTGTGGACGCGATATCAGATAATTTTTTCGTCACTGCCGGCAGCATTTTCGTTTGGGCAGGCCGAGCCCTGACAGACGCGGCATGTGCACGGCCGCGGCCGCATCCGAACGGAATATTTCATTTGAATCTATAAAAAATAATGCTTATGAAGTAACTGGTAGCTTCTAAGTCATTCCTTCATTTGAAAAAAAAAAGGGAAGTCATGTATGGCTGGGAAAACTGCTGGTGGTTGAAGGGGTGGGTTCTGAGACCCCAATTCCTCTCTTTGGTGAGGGTGCATCAGGACACTGGTTCTTTTTTTTTTCACAAAAAAAAAAAGAAAAAAAAAAGCATTTTCTGAGACTGTTTTGCAGGTTCTGTGGATATCAGAAGTAGAGTCTAATGCTTAGTTGTGCAGGTTGCATCATGGCTGAAGGAGAGGTTAGCGATGGCAGAACCGGAGTTTGACGAGGATAGAAAGCAGAACCGGAGGTTAACGACGACAGAAGCAGAGGCTAATTACAGTAGCGCGAGAGGGGTTAGTGCTTGCGGGCACACAACCGGGGGCCAAGTCCCACCTACCCGAATGATCGATTTCTGACCGCAGATTCGGAAGATCAACGACCAGAAATCAAGGATAAGCGTAAGTGGGACTTGGCCCCGGATGCCTTGAAGTGAAGGTTTTGCTGTGATGACAGGACGGGAGATTTGTGAAGAACTGGAGGCTAGTGGGGTTGAGGCTGAAGGTAAGTAGGCTCGGGGATGGAAGAACCAGATGTTAGTGATGGGGGCGAGCCCGAGGTTGGTGATTGGGGAACCCGGGGCTACCGTAGTGATCGAGTCATATGCCTCGGTGTGAAGGATATGTGATCATGGCAGAACTGAAGCCTGAAGGTTAGTCATGGGAGAAACAGAGAGTTGAGTGATGGCAGGACTGGAGGTTGGTTAGTGATGGCAGAACTGAACCAGGGGTTAGTGACAAAGGTTAGCGATGGCAGAAGCAGGAGGCTACCTAGTGATTGACTCCCCGAATCAGATGCCTGGTTATGAACGCTCTTATCATGGTAGAACTGAAGGTTAGCGATGGCAGAAGTAGAGGTTGGTTAGCGATGGCAGAAGTAGAGGTTGGTTGGCGATGGCAGAACTAGAGGGAGGTTGGCGATGGCAGAAGTAGAGGTTGGTTGGCGATGGCAGAAGTAGAGGTTGGTTGGCGATGGCAGGACCAGGTGTTAGCAGTGACATACGTTAGTGGCGACAGATCCAGAGGCTACGGTAGTGATTGAGTCTGTGAATCAAATGCCGCTAAAGGTTATGGGAGAAGCAAAGGTTAGTGATGGAAGAACCAGAGGTTAGTGATGGAAGAACCAGAGGTTAGTGAGGAGGGCAGAGCCAGAGGATGGCAATTTTGTCAGAATCAGATGGCTGTCACTCTGCTGCATTGTTCTTCATGAATGGTAGCTGTCATCAGGCAATTTCTTTTGCGTGTTTTTTTTTTTTTTTTTTTTTTTTTTTTTTAAGGTAAGCTCGTTATTTTCTCGTGATACTAACTACGCTTTTTTTTTTTTTAAATTATTATTATTTTTTTTTTTAATACCCAACTTCTGATAGAGGTGTGCAGGACCAGGCTGCAATGTTTTCTGTGCTCGAATCCAAATGGAACAAGATGAAAGAAAATAAAAAATTATGTGTTCGACGAATAGACGATAATATGTCAAGGCCATCACTCTTCTTCTTCTTCTTCTTCTTCTTCTTCTTCTTCTTCTTCTTCTTCTTCTTCTTCTTCTTCTTCTTCTTTTTTTTTCTTTTTGTTTTTGCTTACTTTATTCTTCCCGGAACTTGACTTTTGGGGTTCTGGAGGCCGCTGCAATTGCGTCGAATTTGTTGACCTTTGGGGTGCTGGAGGCCGCTGCAATTTCGTTGTGTATGACATCACCCTCCTTGCGGCTGCTAACTTTTTTCTTTGTTATGGAGTTGAGCCCTTTTTTTTTTTTTTTTTTTTTTTTTTTTTTTTTTTAGGTTATGCTCCTTTTTGAAAGGTGGCTTTCATCCTCCAAGCAAGCTAATCTCGTCACCGCGTCAGGACACAGACATGTTAGGCCTGTGGAGTCTGTCAGTCTGGGGCGAGGTCCCATTAGCAGTCGGATAGGAGCGTGGCCGATCCAGTGTGACACTGAGTGGCAGCGGCCAGACAAATTCATTACGAATTTTGGGGCTGAGAAAACAGGAAAAAGGCCAAAAAAAAAAGAAGAACCAGAGACCTCCCACCGGAAATCACAGCAGCGTGCTTCCCAGCCGTCAGATCACAAATGATCTGATGGTGGTGGTTGCAAAAACAGTGAACAAAGTAACCGCCACATTTTCTGGAATAAACTCGACTTCTGACAGCAGTGATCTTGACACCCTCCATATACTCTGTGATGGAAGGAGGGCTCCACCCAATGAGATAATTGCACAACAGCAGTGATCCTGAACCCAAGGTGGGCTAAGGCCACACCCCCAACCGATTGAAAAGATTCTGGCGGGAAGCTGTCTTTGCACGGGCATGCCCAGTGTTAAGGAGAGGAGGAGGGGAAAGAAGATCTCCTTACTTTTTCGGGTAATACATGTAAAATACTGACCGTGGGATCACCAGTACTGCACGGCAGGATTTGGGTCACTCAACTGCCACACAAACTCTTTTCTATCCTATCCGGTTGCTAGTGGGACCATGCCCCTGGTCTCGGAAGTGTCAGTCATTCTCTGAGAGTAGAGAGCTAAGTTCCTAACTAATTTATTTCAAAATAAATAAATAAATAAATTGCTAACTGCTTACAGTACTTAGGTCTTCACAAGAAAATTGAAGAAATTTGTTTTTTTTTATTTTTATTATTATTTTTTTAAAGAAACAGTAGTTTTATTAGGGCCCAGTG